AATAAATTTAAAGTACTAGCTTACATTAATAATAAGTAGTAATAATTTTAGAAAAGTAGTTTAAAATGTACAATAGGAGAAAACAGTTGAATAATTGGATATAATTACCATATTATTGTAACCAAACCAAACGTGGGTGAACTTGTTATCTACTGTTACTAATGAAATTAAAAGGGTGATTCTGCAAGCGTAAATAATACGAAAATCAAGAATGGCGAACGTATGTGGGAGGCTTTTCTTTTTGGTTTTCAAGTTATTAACGGTTAAAAATTCCAGCTAGAAACGCCTGAGATCAGGCAATCTGCGTACAGTTGGTAAGTGTAGGTCACGACATTGCCGACACGAACAAAAATACACCCTTACCTATTATTTTAATAGAATTTAATCCAATTTCATGCTACTTTTCATCCATTGAAATCATTAACAGAAGACATAAAATTCTGTTTTTAATTTTTAGTTTCTTTATATTTACGTATGGAAATGTAAATTCTCTTGAACATCCGCAATCTGATAATAATTTAATGATTTATACGGAGTACTTGGGATTTGCGTTACATTCTCCAGTATGTTTTCCTCCGTTTTGTTAGTTATTATTCTGAAAAAACGCAACATTATTGATGAACGGTCTATCGCGACACGGAGCAATTATGTTCTGTTACGTGGACGTCTAATTGATATTCCGATCCTCTTGTGCACGTCTTCCGCGTGGCGCGTTTAAAAATAAAATGGAAATCCAAGGAAATTCTATCGAGTTCCGGTTTTCTCGTCACGAAACAGGCAACCTGTCTTTTTTTTTTTCTTTCGGCGAAACGGGAATTCCGTGAATCACCGGATAGAACGTAAACGATCTATTATAGAAACGTGAATAATTTAAACGATCGTATGTGCATTACAGACTTTATTTATAGTTATCGAGCGCTTTGTGACAGCACGGTTGAAGAAAAAGTTAAAGTGTCAAGGCGGGTGAATTTTTCAGTTAGAGGACAGAACTGCTAAAATACTTTGTAAGACAATAACGTTTCATGGTTTTTTAAAAAATAAAGAATATTTGAGTATATTCGCGGTACATTAGAATGGACGCATTTCCTACGGCCCTAAAGGAGCTTCGTAGCCTAACCTTTTCAAGTTTTTGTGAAAGGGATCGTCTTGAGGTCGTTGCGATCATTGCAACAAACTTTACGGAATCACTGTATTTTCCCACCCACTATATACCCTAACTGTGGACACCTTAACTTTGGATACCTCAATCCTGGGATACCCCAAACCTTGGATATCCTAACTTTAGATACCCCAAACTTTGGACACCCCAAATCTTGGATACCCTAAACTTTGGATACACCAAAATTTTGAATACCCTAAATCTTGGATACCCTAGAACCTTGCATAATCTAAACTTCGGATGCACTAGAACCTTGCATAACCTAAACATTGGATACCCCAACCCCATATACCCTATCCGCAAAAAAGTATCCACACATGATTCAGCCTTCTGAAACGACAGTAACCCCCTCTATGGAACTTCGCCATAACGAAAGATAGATCACTTCCCTAAAATCTGCCAAAAAATGCGAAACCAAAGAAGACCCAATAATCCGTATTTCGGTTTGCATCATCGTCATCCACGATTTTTATCTCAAACACGATTGACTTCGCGTAGAAATACAAGAAACGATGATCTATAGCTCCGCTGTTACACGATATTCCCCTTTTTTTCATGGTACAGTCGCCGTTTCACCGATCATAAATCTTGGCGGGGGATCGTGCCGCGAGAGGACAACGCCGGGTAAGCATATCCGGGGAGGATGACGAGGATTTCGAACGGTTCTTGGGAATCACGACTATTGTGGGAAACGATCGTAGCCGGGAAAGTAACGGAAGGTCGGCGAAGACGTCGATTCGCTGCGGGTGGGAAATGGAGAGAGAAAAAAGGACGCTGATCGCGATTGTGCTCAGGATTCGCCGTGTAGTAGTCCCGTAAAGGACGACGGAAAAACCGATCCGTGAATCAAGGCTGAATACTTCCTTTTTTTTTCAAAATAACAATGTACAATTCAAGGCGATAAATAATTATTAGACTGGCGGATCTTTATGCTTTTAGCCCTTGGAAAGCAGGATAATTTAAAGTTTTAACCCTTTAACGGTGTGACGAGTATATTCGTCGTGAGGAAATGATCATTTTTTGGATTATGACGAGTATATTTGTGTGAAAAAAATAAAATACCTTTGCCATAAAAATTGAAAAATATATTTCGTTTATTGAAATAAACAAATCAAATGGTGTTAGGTTTTTTTTTTCTATTTTCTTTAATAACATTTTTTTAAGCTGTATTAATATCATTTTGTTAAGCTGTATTAATAACCTTTGTTATATTAATGAATTTTGAAGCAATAACATTAATGATTTTTTAAGTAAAGTAACTCGTAGTATTTGACTTTTTTGTCATAATGTAGTTAAAATTTGCAGAAGAGAAAATTTCAAAAATATCATCTCATTTCTTTTTGAAAATACAAGAAAATATAAGAGGAAACTGTTGTTTGTTTGGAAGGGGTAAATACTTTGATAAACAAAACAATTTCTCAAGATCATATTTTTTTAATTTTTTAGGTCATCAGTTTTTTTTTTAAATGAAACTACATATTTTTATCATTGTGGCGTAATAGTCGACGTTAAGACCAATCCAATGACCTGTAGTAATGTGACATTCATTTGACCTTAACTGCGAAAAATCCACAAATCTAAAGAAATAGATTTAAATAATAAAGCAACTATGATACAGGTATTAGTGCAAAGATGTGTCGAAGTTGATGGAGATCACTTTGAGTACTCATTAAAATAATTTTTCTGAAAGTCAAAAATAAGTGACATAGTTTTTGTAACTGTGTTATAACCTCTATCGAGAAAGGACATATTGAATCTAAAATTGTTTTTACTTCCATCTTTCACAAATCCCACAATTTCTTGAGGAATAAAATGCAATTTAAAATCAGAATAAAAAATAACAGAACAATATTAACAGTAGATTTTTCTATTCTATTATGCAGTATACCATGAAAAAAGTAGACCCACCCCATCAGAAACCAATGTGTTAGTAATTGACATATATTCCATTCTATTAAAAAATTTCCCCTAAACATCTATTCAAATTACACAAGTCTGTTTTTTGGAGTGTAATTATCACATTTGTAAAATAATCTATCAAACTAATTTCCTTGCTTCAACGGACTTTTTATTTTTGAAGACAGTTTTCATATTGTGTTATGACAGTACAAAAACTGTCTATACCCTGATAACTATTTGTAAAATTATCTTCCTCAAATGTTTGATGTACATTTCAGCCATGGAAGGTTAATACAAGTATGCATAATTAGACTGTGGATTTTATGTGTATACAGCATATTCAGTTGTCTAAATACAGTATACTAAAAAGTTTAACAGAATACAATGAGGTTATGTTACTTGGAACCTGATAGAACCCTCAACAGGATAAACAAGTTTCTGTTAGATTCCAATTTTCTATGAATTAACCTGTCAAAACTCTATATTCCCATAAACATCCTCAGTCTAAATTAATAACGTTTTGCCACCGTTTATGTAAATAATGAGAATTTAATGGCAACATAACATATATAATGTAAATTACATCTATTTGTCATAGGACCTATTCTTTTCTGGCGTCCTGCGTCTCATCTCACTCTCACACTTCACTCATGCTCTCTTTTTCTCTCTCTTTCTCTCACTCTCACTTTAATAGCGACACACAACATACAAAGTCAGTTACAAAAGATCAACGTTGTGTCTCTTCCTTCCCGATCTTCTGCACCGATTCTGCCCGTAACTAACATATTCAACCTTTTCTTCACCAACGATGCTTACAAGATTTTTACACGACTCCTTTGTTTTTGTTCTAACGTAATGGCGTCGTAATTGTATTCTATTTTACGTCGACCGAGTATGTATTGCACTATCGTGTCAATACGCCCTGTCTTGCCAATGTACATCCGGCTGTCAGTTGTATTCTCTTGAAACTTTAAAAGAATTCGAACTTATTTCATCAGCTACAACACATATGTATATACGAACATTTATTAATGTTAAGATTAACGAAACTTAAACTAAATAGGAAATCAGAAGAACGAAAAGATTTCAAAAAAATACATCCATGTAAATAGATAGCGTTTTAATTGGTTATTTAATTAATTATGAGTGTCGGTTACTCTGGAACAACTTAATGTGACAATTAGTACACGGATTTCGTTTCCAGAATTAGAACGTATTTTACTACTATACATTATGGTAATATACAAGAAATTCATATAAATAAATATACATACATATAATTTTAATCTTGTCGATTGAATAATTCATTTTGTGTAATTTTCGCGAGCCAGAAATTGAATAATCAACAGACATCTTGTATTTGAAATTTGGTAAATACCAAATTATGTGTACAAATGGCTACCGTTTTATTTGAATGTTGTTTGTAAGTAATATTGTATTCTATATTTCGAATATAAAGGTTTAGTCGTAATTAAAACTAAAGACCTGCTAACAAAGTTATTAAGAATCATCTTATTCTAGTTTCAACTCGCGCCTCGTTTTTCGAGTTTCACTTCAATTCTTTCGGTGCCAGTGGCTCGAAACGTTTAGCACACCACGTGTTCGGAAATTTATGTAATTACATTCGTTAGTATGCTTGGTTCCAACGTCATGGATTTTACATAATTTAACAGTAAGACCGAGGCACCGAAACGATTAACGTGATGTTAAAAGAATACAGTCGTTATCTTTCTTCCTTTCTCTTTTTTTTGTTTTTTTTCTTAACACAGACAGACAGGGCCGCTTCCATGACGGTACGAACGCAGTTACATGAATATTATGCGTTAACAATTCATAGAAAGCTCCTCGCAGTTCGCTCGATAAACGATTAATAGGAAATAGATATATTATACACAGTGGACAGACTAGACCAGGTTGAGACGTCTTGTCACGATTGCTTTCCAATTTATATAGATATATATCGCTCGTGCAGCTTTGAAAGCCTTCATTATTACTAAAAAAAAAATATAAAAGAACTCGTATGTCGTTAACAATCGTATTTTAGGTCTCTTTTACAGTTACTTGTTGAGAATGAATGACAGTAAAAAACTATAAAATACGGTCATGTTTTTGATACAGTCTCCACTGTTTTGCCGTATAGTTTAGTTACGATGTTGTAATTACAGCGTAAACGATAGTGCAATTCTATATAACTTAATACAAACGTACGACGAACTTTACACAATAGGTTATAAACGAGAGACAAAAGTATCGTGAGAGATTTCGCCACGAACTTAAGATTACGTATCGGCGTGTATAAGTCGACGATCGTGTTTCATTTTCCTTTCGTTGCTAATTAGAATTTCGATAAATAGAAGAATTTCAGGGAATCAGTGTTGTGTAGCGACAAATCGCAACCTAAAATATTTGGATACCGATGATCGGGCCAAACGAACCAGTCGATTAATACAACGAAAATTTAAAAAAGGAAAAAAACAAATGCATTAATTCCTACCGCCAGTGATTAATAAAGTAAATCGCCTTCCTCCAATGTACTTTTAATCATCTTGACGTGAACGTGTCTACGCAACAAGCTTACACGATAAGTTTCGAATGCAAAACTTCCATCAAAAGCCCGGTATCTTTGGCTACTTCGGGTATGTTTATTTAAATAATTATAATATAGTAATATTGTACAGCTTGAGTTAGAGTACAGGGTGAATTTGAAACACGTAGCATCCCTTTACAACATGTGTTGCCCATTTGGCGGAGCATACTGAGATTGCTGATTTACTGAACGTCCTGTCGGTCCAGGTGGACCATAGGCTCCTGGCATAGTACCAGTTTGGGGTGGAAATCTGTTGCACAATGTTACGAAACACTCATTTATCGACCTATTTTTATAAAAACTTACAATCTTTTATTTTTATTATTATTATTATTACTTGCATTTGATAATGCTAATCGTATTAAGAGTCCACATATTTTAAAGGATTATTTTAAAACATATTAATACAGTAGAATCTCCAATATCCGAATATTCTGATATTTTAATATTTTATCATCCAAACTGAACATGTTTTTGCTAGTTATAGTCTTAATAACAGCAACATAAATGTTCTGTATAATTAAATTTGATAAAAATCTCACGGTATGTAGAAGAAAGATGATACAAGATGGCTAAATTTATGCAAAAAGTCTGGATATTTATTGTTTTATCAATTTCGATGATAGAACACCTACTGTTATCAGTTTCGATACAATTTATAAAGGGACTTTGTTAGAACAATGTTTTTAATACATTTATGTTAATACATACCCTTGATGGGAGTAAGGAAGATTAGTTTGCTCTAGCACTGGTGGACCCTGAGGATGTCCTGTAGGATGCTGATGGGGACCTGATTGCACGTGAAAATGTTGAGGTAATGTCATGTTTGGCATGCTTGCAGGCCCCATATATTCGTTCGTTGGGACATTGGCGTTGTACGGTCCAGATGGACTATTTCCAACAGGAAAAGAAGACGGATGAGGTACTCCATTGAACATCTGTCGGTTACATTGTTTCAAAACGTTAGAATTACGAAGTGCTATGAGAAAATGCAATATAAAATTATCCTCACGTGTGGAGGTGGTGGTCCATGATTTTGGAATTGATAAGGGTTCATATGTGGTGGCATTTTGGGTAGTGTATAACTAGTTGGCGTAGGGGGAGGAGGTTCTCGCATCAGTGTGTGATATAAATTAAGAGCATCCACCAGATCAGAACTTAGTTGAGTTAGCTGTGCATGCCTCCTGTCCACTTTTTCTAAAGCTGCATCTATCAACGGTCCCATCGCAGTGACTTGTTCTAGAAGAAATCGATAGCTTTAGTCAAATGATACTGTTACTATACGTAGTGAAATAATATACCGAAAAGATATAGGCAACGTGTAAATTACCTTCTAACTCTAACATTTCCTGTGGATCAGAATTATCGCACTGAGGATCAGCTTCATGCAACAAGTGTAGAAGTTTGTCCATTTTTCCTTCATCTATTTCAACCTCGATCACTTCTGGTTCCCTCTTTACTGTTTTCACTTCGACTTCTTCGGCAAACTGTACCATTTTTTTGTTGCCGTGTTCTAACTCTGTTATAGGGAAGTTGGTATAGAGAATTTTCATTATCGAATAGACGTAATTTAAACATACGATTAAACTTACTTGTGAATTGTTCAGGCTCGACCGACAAATCAGCAGTAACGAAATTAGAGGGAAAAAGTCCTACTCCTGTATAGTTACTGCCTTTCCACCAATTTGGATCGGAATCATCCAAAAGGTTAACTATAATTCAGTTGATAACAATACCTTCATTATTGCATCATACATGTATTATAATTGTATTTTTGCGGGTGTAATTGACACATATGACTAAAAACAAAAAGTTTGAAAAGATTTTATAATACATACTTATTTCTCCGGCTAAAAATGTTAGTTCATTGTTTTCCGCTGCCTCGAAATCATACAGAGCACGGACCTTCCTGCCTTCGGTATTGCTGGAAGCACCAAGCGCCGAGCTCACATTTGGGTATAAAGTGGTATTTTTTTTAGAACCAGGCGAACCGTGTGAAGAAGACGCTTGACCGTGAGCTTTACTGTCTTTCAACGAAAGTTCTATGGCTAAAAGCAGAAAACAAATAATATAACATTACACTAATAACAAAATAGACATAAAAGTGATATTTTTAGTATACTAAGATACCTTTCGCGATATCTTCTTCTTCCTGCGAATTTGAAACTACATTTGGATCTTTGCTCAGTACGGTCGTGCGTTTAGGCTAAAAATAAAACATACAGAGGATTTATGTATGAAATCTCGGATTACATTTAAATACAAAATAGGCAATTTATAAATTATAATTTAATGTCATGTGAAAATATTTTTAGTTGATTCGGTGAAATAATTATTTGCTCGACGCATGAGGACAGAACACAAGAGGACATTAATAAGAGATAGCGTTATCTTTATATTCGCTATTCAAATGGAAGACTAAAAGCAGCCATGTATATTATATGATAAATGAGTTTATAAAAAAAAAGAATCTTACCGTATCTGAAACAACAGTAAAATCATAACCTTCGCTTTTAAGTTTGTTGTACAAACTTGGAATTAAATTTAGTTGTGGATCAGTTTTGAAATCACCTTCGGCCCACTTTTTTAAAAGTCCTTTCATTCTCTCTGCGATTTTCAGTTGGGAATGATTAACCAGTTTTCTCATATCACTTTCAAAGTCTCTTGACGCAATTTCCAGATGGAAAGTTTTCCCACAATTACTGACACACGCATCCAGCAACTAAATGCAAATGAATTATTAGATGTACAGAAAACTTGTATTTTAAAGACATTAACAATCGCTACATTATCAGCATACAAACAATACTATGTTCGAATTCTTAAGATAATATGTTAAATAAAAGAAATTTGTTTAAGCTGCATAAAGTTCAAGAACTCCAGAAAAACAAGTAAAATGGTAAATTTTAGATTATACATTTTCATTTTGTTAAAAATAAAAAATTACACAGGAGTACAATTTTAAATTGTAAAAGTAAATTACGTGTAGTTTAAATAATATACTAACTGTTAAGGCTTGCATAACAATATGTGGGTCTGGAGAATACAGTCTCTTAACAATGGATCGCAAACAATCCTTTGCATTTTGAGAAGAAGTTCCTACTTTATCGCAAATGTCCATTATCTTTCCCCATTCTTCTGATATATTCTTCTCACTGGTTGCCTTCTCTGTTATAACAAATTCCGATAGAGAAATCATAACATACAACTGATGAAGTGAAAATTACAAAATGTGACTATATAATAAAAATTTTAATTTGAAATACAATCTGTATGGTACTTAATAACATATAAACGTAATTTCTTCAATTATTTATTAGATCAATATAACTTCACATTACAAAATGCTATTGTTTGATCATATTGTTTATTCTAATTAGTAGATAACGAAACATAGCAATAAATGCAATTAATTAAAAATTCCATTGAAATATTTCCGTGTATTTTTGCAAAAATAATCATTATACCGTTAATACTTCGCAAAAAAACACGGCTTCGTGAATCGAATGGAAAGATTCTTTATAACTATCGTTTCCACAAAACTAAAAATAATATTCAAAAATTGAATAACCAAACAATTGTCGTATCGACAAATTATAAATTAGAGCAGGTAATGTCGCAAAAAAAAAAAAAAAACGATTCGAACAATAAATCGAAGGAATGGAAAAAGGAGGATTAAGTAATTTGCAAAATCTGGGGTCTTAATTGGAGGTCAAATGTCAACAACCGCTTAATGCATCCATCAAACGTGGAATTTCGACATCTGGGGAGGGAAAACGACCAAGTAAGGTCGCAAGTAAGCGGGTTAAAATTATTAGACGGACACGAAACATTAATTTTCGTGGCGAGAGGCCGAATCGTCCGGAATAATGATTCTAAGTGAATTAAGGCTAGGGAAAAGTATACTACTCACCGACGTCAGCGTCGAAAGGCGAGGAAGTCTGGAAAAGGCCCATTTTGGCTGGTTTACTCGACGAAATGAGTATACCCCAACAGTTAAGTCCGTTACGCGCTGTCACGGAATCGCGTTACGTTCTTCTCTGCGCATCCAGCTGATATTTACTTACAAACACGAGATCGAATGACTAATAACATTCTAATCTACCATCGAGGGACATCTTTCTTTCGATCTGCCAAAAAACCTCGATACTATCGAATCGTCTCGAGAGTAATGTCAAACCCGACGGTTTAACCGACAGAATTTCACGGTCGATGGATTTATTGGGTGTATGGTATTTGAAAATTGACTGAAATTTTCCGTACTTATTGTTTAAATTACCGAGAACTGTTCAGAGGTGTCGGAGATTGGTCAAGTTTTGTATTTTACGACGAAACATTGAAATGAACATCGACAATCGATATATCGTAACATATTTTAGATTAGCGACAACGCCATCTCGTGGCTGTGGTGAACATTATCCGATGGAGCGTTGTTTTGTCTGCTGATGGTAAAACGGATACGTTTTATACGATTGTAAACGTAAAGATGATTCATCGAATTTGACAATGTGAATTACACACACTTAGGAATTATCAGCTGTATGGAGGAACGTATGATATAAAACGCACATACTACGTATGGAAGGTCACCTTGAGTTTCTTAAATGGAGCATTCTATGTATGTACATATACACATCTTTCTCTGGTAACCAACATGTTTGTAGATTTGAAATTTTATGGGAAAGGTTATTACTTCAAACTTATAAGATATGTTTAATACTATGTACCAACGATAAACGCATATCTTTTCTGATCGATCGATAAATATAGCAAACTTTTGAAAATTTACAAATTTATAAATTAACTAATTTCTTTAGTGTCGTATCGTAATAAAAGTTACAAGAGATCTGAGAAAATGTATTGTTATAATTTGTTATATATTTGACTTGCCTGGTAGTTCTAATGTTAAAAAGGTTTAAGATTGCGTGAAGAAATTGGTTAGAATTTCATAGAAATGCTCATTAACAGCATAGAAATAAAAAATTTCCAATTGATTAACCGTAACTGAGCAACCACTGTTATTAAAAATAATTTTTATTGTAAATTTTTATTACTACAATACTGTAATTGTTTATGCAAAATCAGATACTAAATCTATTGTTAAAACACAGTACATAATTAAACGTATGTAAATAGTTTAGTTCTGTTAAATTTCTTGAATGATAGCAGAATAAAGTAAACTTTATGTTAAATCACAGTTAATGTTTGTTTCTTGGAAAGTATATCTATTTTAATATATTGATATGAAATTTGAGAGAAAGTATTCTTCTCTCTAAAACGATCTATTTATTTATTTTAAAATATTTAGTCTGTTTGAAGCTGGTAAAAAATACATAACATCGTTTATTAAATGCATAGTGTTTTATTGAACTTTACGTTATAAACAATAATACAGAATTATATTTATCATCTTATGGGACCTTGTGTCGCAAAAAAAACAGACATTCTCTGCTGCCCTCTACGATATGGGAACGGTGAATTCGGGAATTAAATTCAGTCCAACACGAACTCAGCTAGACTAATTTCTTCGAAGCGTATTTAAACGTATTAGAAGAAGGTCTTGACTTCAAATCCCACTGGACCTATTACATTTTTTTCGTGTACAAAACAGAAATCACGTTTAATACTGTCATTATGTATTATTATGTAAATTTGAGCGAAATACTTTATTTTGCTATTGTTAATACAATAGTTTAACAATGACAACGAACACATATATGCTTTCAAATACAAATAATATATTTTTATTCTGTATTATTACATATTAGTAAGTAATATTTATCAAAAAACCAATTGAAACACAAATTTTTATTGCACTACGAATTGTTTAAAAAATACAGACCCTCAAAGTTGACAATGTCTACCGACTTTTACGAAAATTATTTTTGCAAAAAATTGTTATTTCCGAAATTATGGTAGGATTTTCGTATCATTTTGCAAAAATAAAAAAAAAAATAAATTCCATTGCACGATGATTGTTTAAAACAACGTATATATAGATATAAAAGTAATCATTGCATATCAAATTTTTAAAATAAAAAAAAAAATAAATTCCATTGCACGATGATTGTTTAAAACAACGTATATATAGATATAAAAGTAATCATTAAATATCAAATTTTTAATTATTAAATAATATCAAATCAATAAGGACGGTGATATTTGTTCTTTTTTGTATTGTTAATCGTATTTATTCCTTTTTGTCTGACCCAAGCAATCACTAATTTGGGGATGGACTGTTTCCAACGGATGAAGAACGTAGAGTCGGTTACGAAAGAGCCGCTTGAAGCAGTGCAACGAACCGACTGTGGTTTCGCGAACAATTTTTCCATTAGAGCTAGGCTTTCGAACCTTGGGCGTAAACGCGCGCATTTTCTGCATAATGCTGCCCCGTAGTGTCATCAAGTTTCCACGATTCGTCTGACGACTGGTCTTCGCGCTGGTTGAAAATTACCCTAATATTACGTAAACATATTTTCATAATCCTGTTTTATATTTTACATTAACTCCAAATAATGGGAATATATAATTGAACTTCTAAGGTTCCAATATGGTTAATGAAATTGACGTATGTATAAAGATGAAAATCGAAATTATTTATAATTATTATTTTCATTAGATACTTTTTAACACTAGAACTACCAAACCGGTCAAAATGACGGATTACAGAGTTAATATTTTACCATTATTGAAATTATAATGGGGCTTATATATTCTGTATATTATTGTATTATACAATTTAATTTAGTATACATTCAATGTTGGTAGTTCTCGTGTTAAAAATAAGCCTAATCTATAACGATTACCTAAATCGTACTCCACCAATTTCTTTCTGAATTTCGATATTTAACACTTTGACTACCACAATATGGGTTACACGTAGGGGAACCTGTTGCACCTTGCGTACATTTTATGTTTTTATTATTTTTTTTCAACTATCCTAAATAATTTACGCATATTAGAGATTGTATATAGTTTACTGATTATTAAGACACATAACTTAATTTTTGTAGAATGATTCCGATATATTTTATTAGAATTATAAATGATTAAAGAAGAAACGGTAATTATGTCCATGGTACAACACCCGTATGTACCTCGGATATAATACTTCCTTCATTAATTATGTGTGAATATATATTTTTTGCTTTACAATACTACTTATAATATGTGAAGTATTAGGGTTATTTAAATCTCTATTCTTATAATAATTTTAATACCTTCTTAATCAGTCTTTACGGTATATCTAATATTTCTATGTTTTGTAGTCTTTATAACTTTTTTAATCCGTTTTTTTTTAATCCGTTTTACTTTTTTAATCCTTCAAGACGGCTTAAAGGCGCCTTAGACCTAAAATAGCCGTAAAATGGTCGTTTTCAAGGCGTCATGTGCTATCTGGGCAGGTTCCCTTACATTACAAACAGGCTGAATCATTTACACTTAGTTACAAAATTTGACGTAAAATTAATATTGCAGTATACTTTAACTCTTTAGGGTTAGGTGGGTTAAAAACTGTCCCACCTTTTGCTTAGCATTTTATGCATGGTGGGATATATTTTAACCCACCTCGAAAAGTTGAAATTACTCATAGTCATACAGTTTAATATAAGACCAACAGTCTCTGTTTACTATCTTCAACGATTTATGACTTAAAAAATTGAAATAAACTGTGTCTGGCAAATAAGTGTGGCAGTTGTCGTGTTAAACGATGTCTAGTGAGTAAACACGCGAAAAAAAAAATAGATAATGAGATAAAAAATTCACAGATTATATCTTTGTTGTGCGTGCTACCAGACAGTTTAAAGCAAACCTGTTCACACGAGCGACCGTCTGAACTTCCCCAGTTCTGTTTCCCTGTTGTTATGGGGATCGTAACGTCAATCCGTCTTACAATTTTTCTTTGTTTTCACATAGCATCTCGTTGATCTAAGTCTACATCACTCAACCTCCAGTTAATCTGTATCTGCAACAAACAGCCTCTGTTTTGTCTATGTCCGCATTATTGTATAACCGTTATGCAGTTTCTGTATCCAAATAACTTTTACTTGCAATTAGTTTGCACCTATATTACATAACCTCAATTTGGTTTGTATCTACATCACATAACCTCGATTTGATTTATATCTACATCACATAGTTTTCTACTTTGTTGGCCTGTATAAAAAATTCATAACATAGCTTTTGTTTATTTCCACATAGCCCCATCCCTTTTAGTCTTTAGCAATAAAAGATCCGCAGTTGTGGAGAGACCTGATTAAAAAATTCAAGTACGATGGAAGGAACGTTTGTCCAACCAATGTAATTGGTAATAATTTCACAATGCCCAGATAACACATGACGCCTTGAAAACGGCTCGAAGACGCCTTAGACTTGAAATAGCCGTAAAATAGGCGTCTTTAAGGCGTCATATGCTAAGCCGTCTTCAAGACGTCAATAGACGTCACGTGCTATCTGCGTAAAGATCTATCAGAAACGTCTATTCAAGGTTATGAGGTGTTTTACATGTTGAAAACAGTGTTCTCGTAGCATACATGGAAATGCTGTTTTTTTTTCTTTTTTTGCAATATCTCCTGGGCAACTTTGCTTCGACGATGCACGATTTTGACAGCTCCCCCCACTTTAGAAATATGAACGTAGTATCGGTCCTCCAGTTCCCACAAATCTAACGTTTTTCCGTCGGGCGTAGATCCGTTTCGTTTACCATACAGATTCATTGATACCAGGCGTAACATAGTCGCCTCTGACGCAAAGGTTTCTCACCGAATTGCATCATATTCCGTCGAATTGTTTCGGTTAAAAGTACACGCGTCGTACATTTCCCTTGGATCGAAGTACATACAGTCTGTTCCACAACCTAGATAGCACACAGACGGCTTAATGACGGCTTAAAGGCGTCTTAGACCTAAAATAGACGTAAAATGGGCGTCTTAAAGGCGTCATGTGCTATCTGGGAAGAGTACCCATTTTCCTATTTAACATTTTTCCCTATCTTCAATTCTGACAGATATTTAGGTGTTCTGTTAGCGTATTCACTTATTGTGTATAAATGTGGACGTACAAATATTACATCGTTCCGTATGAAAATGTATCATATGGTGATACACCTTAACCCTTCTGTAGGCA